GAATTTTCGGCGGATCACGCACATACAACAGAGAGTGGCTTTTTCATGTTTTTGACAAATTTTGGCTAATAATATTTTTTGCTTGTTGTTTATTTACTATTGTAGGTTTCCTAGGTCAGCACATAGATTATGTTATGAAATGAGCATTCCAATACGCAGACTGATTTGTTTGGAGCTATTTTTGGATATACTTAATTTTGACAAACTATGTATTTTACTCTACTGCTACATTTCAATGGGTTTAATACAATTTAATCATGTTCAAGTGTCTCGTAAGCCTTTACAAGGCTAGACATTGTACATGTACATTGTACATGTGGGAGCTGTGGTCTTTCAGAATATTGGTCCAGGCAGGGGTAATGGCATCGCAGCTCTCTGCAACATTGACCAAGGCCTCAGACCCCATATCGTGCCTTTTTTTGCCCGTCATCAAAACCACACCTTTCAGCAAGACAACGCCCGTCCCCACACTACAAGAGTCAACAGGGACACCAGAGACACCAGCAGCACAACATCCAAATCATGCCTAAGCCTCCCCTCAGTCCGAATTTGAATCCCATTGAACACTTGAGGGATGAGATCCAACGGCGACTCAACGACGTACGCCCAAGGCCGACAACTGCAGCAGAACTGCGTGTAGCGTTCCTGAGGATATGGGCCCACATCCCAATGGCCTTCATCAACAGGCTAATCCACTCCATGTACAGGAGATGTGTGGCTGTAGTGAACGCCCTGTAATTATCGCTATAAATGTATTTGATCTGATTACCAATCTATATAAAGCTTGCCGTAAGAGGCGACTATGCTTGACGTAAGAGGCGAGTCAGGCTCGCTGACTTGGTTGATGAATGTTATCGATCTCAATCGCATGGATCGATGCTCATTTTATTAATCACTGGATTGTCTGGTCCAGACTCGATTATTCAGACCCGTTATATAGCTAGAATATTGCTGAGTGCGGCGTTAAACAACAAACAAACAAACAAATCTATAATCTATAAGACAACTCGGGCAACATCGAGGGAAATGACTTCGTGTGCAGACACCGTTCTACTTTCGCCTGTAGTATTTTCAAAACAAAGGTTTATGCACGGTGAGTGACAGACTTATCCTTTCAGAATAGATAGATTAAACCATTTAAAGCAAGTACAGTATATTGTACATTATGTACTAACAATGATAAACACTCAAACACTTAGTTTTGTGTTGTGTAAATGATGAAATAGAGAATAACATAATATCTCCTGCTTAGAATATTATGAAATGAAGCAAAATGACAGTAGGTTAACTATTACCAAATGATAGGACCCTTCTGTTTCATCAATGAAAGTTTGCAGTTCTTGGTACTTATGAAAACCATGAAACAAACTGCATCTGCAACAGTAAACCTACACCCCCACCTGAGAGATCTTGATTATACAGGATGGATGCATCAAGATGAAATAGACAGTGCTTATGTGTCATTTTTAGATCTATGCACAAAGATTCAGAGCGACAAGACACTCTCCACAAGACTTTATGATAAGAGGATTGACTTGAACTTTCCACTGGTCAACTTTCCCTTCATGACGAGCAATATTCCAGCAGCTCCAGCCTTTGGTGTTTACATTTGTTTTTAGATACAGTCGAGCATGCTCGTTCACCAAGATTTCAAAGAACTGTTGCTCAGAAGTTGTTCGATCAAGATTACACCATTCAAGGACTCAGTGAAGCTATCAGAAGGTTGTATGGGAGACATGAAGAGGACATTTCTAAATCCGAAACATTATTGACAAAAAATGATGTAAAAATATCAACTTGGTCAAACCACAGGCTGGGGGAACGTGAGGAGGGACGATGATCTCCGATGCAATTCCCTATTATGACTTGTACCATATGTTCCCGTGTTTTTTCAGGTGAACAATTGACTTGTCTTTGCATGTGTTTGTGATCGGTGCCACCGATGGGGCAGGCTACGCTCACCTTTTCCCGAACACGTGGTATCATAACTTAATAGTGATTCATAAACTCATGCTTAAGATATAGTTGGAATCGTACAATCGTAAATCGTACCGCATTTTGCAGATATTTCTATTGCATATGAAAAGCGTTTTGTCGCTTTTATTAGGTTGGTATTGCAATGTGTGTTATATGGATTGTGTTCAAATGCAAAATATATCTCTGGGACCGTGCAAAGGGACAAATTCTACCATGACATTGAAGAATGCTTGATTCTGATTGGTTAAAAAGAGGTATCCTGTTACCTACTCATACTTTTTTTGAATTCAGCCATTTAACACAAAACACCCGCATCAAAAACATCGATTCAAGAACAAGAAAAGAAGAAGGTGAGCTGGCATTGCTATAGAGTATCCGGGTTTGTTGCCCGGAATACAGCCTTTCAGACAAGCTGGGTAATGCAGAAGGGGAGTCTTCACATTCTCCCAAAAGTCCTCGTCCCATTCGTTGCTGCGTGTAGAGGGAGCAAGATCCCTGAGCTGATGATGAGCCTAACAAGCCTGACTGTGCAAGGATCTCCAAAACCTTTGCTACATTTTTATTTTAATCTCTAAAAAAGCCATTAATAATAGTAATAATAGATTGATTGACATATATTGTCTGATGATCTTCTTGTGAAGCATGTCATGACTCATGATGAAAACAAGGCATTCCACAGTTTTCTTAAACGAGCCAAGCATGTGGGACATGATCTCAAAGTCAATGTTGATTTTGTTGATGGTTCTGTACTGCTGGACTGTACAAAAATGAGTGTCAACCAAGCGAAGTGCAATATCAAATCGGCACAGACTTTCGCCTTTTCAGAGAGGATCAGCAGCCCTGCAGTTTTCTTTGCTTGGATGAAGTCGGCTGGCCTAAACGTGAAAAAGAAGGCTTTCTGTTTGCTGCTCAAGACCAGTCACTTTCCAACGAAACCATCAGGGTGTGATTTTGCATCAAAATGTAAATATGAAATGTAGATTATGACTGTCAAACACAACGCCAGTGGATTCCCAGCTTTGGCCTAAAGACAGTATCTTAAGCGACATGATGGAGTGGCTCGACCCTTGTATTACCATGAATAATGAAACATACCAACTTCGTTAGAGTTGGTCCGTATAAAACCTCAGACCTATTCAAGCCAACAAACCTGATCTTGTCCTTGTTCATAGATCCAATGAAAACATTTATATCATTGAATTTTCTGTCTCTTTTGACACTGATGTGATGGACAAGATTCAGGAAAAACATGGCAAATAGGCGGACCTCTTGAACAGAATACTATATACTTTAAATAATTTTCATATATACACAAAGAAAAAAGTTAAGCACACCCCTATTTCTGAACCATGACAAATAGTAAAAATCATGGCATGGGATGACTGACCACAGGAGATGGGCGATACCAATGTTATCGGATAGAAAAAAACATTTGACAACAAATAAAGAAGATATTGGTGAGTTATGAGTGAAATTCACTGACGAAAACATCATGTTTTTACCTTAGTATGGAGCTACATGATTAAGTAAATGACTTACGTTTGATGTTTCATGTGAAAATGTTCCTTAAAGTCTCTACTTGACATGACACGTGAAACAGATCAGTAACGGGTATAACCGCCACATGCCCGGATGACACATTCCACCATGTCTCATGCCTCCAGTCAGACGTTGGATCTGTTGATGGGTCAACAACAACCACTCCTGATCTTGTAAAGGAGTATCTCGTGCCTTTATGCGCCGCCCCAGAATATCCCTAACATGTTCAAGGGGGATCAAATCTGGGCTCATTGCTGGCCAAGGTAGAGTCGTTATTGCATTGGCCCTCATGTAATCCACGACTGCATGCTGAAACGACGATTGGGCAACCACAGCTGTTTCAGACGAGTACTTGTTAAAAGAGTTCCCGGCGTATGAGACCAAGAAGGTCCCTGTCTTCGCGATGTGTCGTCACTTGAGGTCTTCCGGATATGGGACGGTCCTGTACATCACTGGTCTGAGAATGTTTCTCGACTAAACGGCTTACGACAGTGTGATGATACCTCATATTCCGACCAATGGCATTACAAGACATTCCTGCGTTAATCATGCCGATTATTTGCCATCTTGTGGCGTTTGCTAATCGCCTTCGTGACATGGTCACACAATCTCATGGAATAACTGTTTACAACCAACCTTAAGAAAGCAATTTTAACGTTTCGATATACTGCTTTTAGATATACTCGAGGGTAGCATGCATGACATGTGACCTTTCGTCAGGAATGACTGATTCCATCATCTCGAGGAAACATAATTCTTTCCGCAATTATATCTTTCATGACCAAACAATAATGAAATATATTAGGGTGTGCTTTTTTCTTTGCGTTTATAACTGTGATGAATATTGAAATGTATTTAACACAGAATTGGTGTCATTCTTTAGAGAAAATCATTAGCCAAATTGTTAGGCGGTTGTCAATAATTGATGATTGAACTGGAGTCAGTGTTTATCAAGGGTGTTGATTACATCAGGACATCTCAATATGTTACCTGGCTCATTGTATGCAATCGTCTGTTTGTTTCCATGTTTATTTCGAGGTTAACTCATCACTCGTCATACCCAAGTGGAGTAGATCCAATTATTTTTCTTCCTCTAAATGTTAAAACGACAAAGGCAGACCGAAATTCTGGCGGTTGGTATTGAGAACGACAATATTGATTTGGTTGAACAATATAAGTATCTTGGCACCATTATTGATTCAAAACTGCTGGTCACGGGAGCCTGTCTTTTCAAAATAAATGTCAAATATATAAAATTCTAAATACAGCAAGCAAAATCTCAGGTACCCAATTTCAACACATCGGTGACGTTTATGAGCAGCAAATTATCAAAAAGGCGCTTAAGATACTATTGTTTGTTTGTTGTTTAACGCCGCACTCAGCAATATTCCAGCTATATGACGGCGGTCTGTAAATAATCGAGTCTGGACCAGACAATCCAGTGATTAATATCATGAGCATCAATCCACTCAATTGGGATCTATGACATGCATCAACAAAGTCAGCGAGCCTGACCACCCGATCCCGTGAGTCGCCTCTTACGACAAGCAGAGTCACCTTTTACGGCAAATATGGGTTGCTGAAGACCTATTCTACCCCAGAATCTTCACATGTCCTTAAGATACTTAATAACAGCAGTCATGTACTTTATTCCATATATCAAGGACCGGAAATCACTCATGCCAGCCAGTATTAGTCTTTTGAATCTTTTAGTCCTTTATCTATTTAATACTTTCTAACAGTTTGCTGTACACAAATCCTATCCTGTCCCATCCCTTTTATTACAGTTTACTCTTGCTGTGATAGGAATATATATATACTTTAAAATACCATTCCTTGTCGTCACTGTCATAGTCTTCAATCTTTCTCGTGTTCAATTTTCAACATGTTTTTACAGATAGTTATATTAGTAAGTGACTTGTTTTCTTATGTACATATTTTCAGATCATATGTTTTCTTTTTTCATATTCTGGTGCAATTTGAATTTCCCTTGGGATGATAAAGTATTATCTTATCTCTTATAGCTTCAATGGATAGAATTATCATTAAACCGCCCGCGTTATCAGAAATCAGCGGGCCACTGTAACTTGATAATGCCCTCATATTTCTTGATGACGGGCCATTGTCACGCCCGTTGTTAGGTAACGTCATGGGGTAGGGAGAGGTGACGTTACCTTCAATAGTGATGTCATCTGGTTTGTTCTATGACGTTTCCATATTTGTAAAAGTGGGTCAGTGACATTTGTGTTGATTGCAGTAAATGTTTCAAAACCGATATTGTTGCTTCTTTTTATTTGATAATAAATTCCATCCATTTTAGCTATAATAACGGTAACGCTATTTTTACAGGGCATCTCCTTCGTCGGGGCAGTTAATTGAAGACCTCGGGCTTCTGCAAAAGATAATGCCCTGAAAAATAGCGTTAGCCTTATATTATCAACTTGGGGGGGCACGGGTGGCCTGGTTGTCTATGACGACTAGATTGACAGAGTTGCGTCCCTTGGGCACGCCGAAGTGATAAACGTCTGAGACCTGCCACTTCGGGCTTTCCTCCCATATTCAGCTGACACGCCGAGATGTAACTGGAATACTGTTAAAAGCGACGTTAAACCCAACTTACTCACTCACTCTTATCAACTGGCTAACCTAGCCCTTAATATGGAATAAAGAATCTTTTGAACTCAGTGTAGGCTTTCCCTGACAGACATTGAATCTGATCAGACAACACGCAGGACCTTGTGTGACTCCAGTGTGTGACTAGTATGTAGAATGTTATTGTTGAAGTAAGCACCAGACACAAAGATCCACCAACAGCCATCTCCATGAAGGATTCCATCACACGCTCAGCATCAGGTTGGTCCACAAGCAAAGCAACAGCAGTGGACATGGGACCTCCCAGACCAAGAGGAAAGCCTGCACCCCTTTCTTCTATAAGATGATGTTGCCCTATTACCTGCCACTCTGTTGTTCCAAGACTTATGGCAGCAATTATATCGATGAGCGTTTTTACCGTGCGAAGTATGGTGATCTTACGTTGGCTGATGTCACCTGAACGCCTTGTCCAGGTTTTTCTCATTCGAACCTTATTGGCATCAATATGTCCACCCTCAGCTACCTCGAGAGATGTTCTTACTGCAAGCACATACTTTTCTACCACTGCCACTGCTTCCTTCCATTTGGTATAATAATATATTTCACTGAACAACTCAGCAACTAAGCCCACCATTCCGACAATGACTATCACGATATGAGACAGCTTCTCCATTGCAACAGAGATGTGACCATGAGCAACAGTTGTTTCTATTTTACAGATGATGAATCCCACTGAAAGTAGTTCCAGAAGACAAATCAAGAACTTGAACAGTGTTGTATGTGCAGTTGTCTGCATGACCATATCAGCCAAATGGGTCAGGTCTTTGGACATCATGTCAACCTTTTGGAGGAAAACTAAATTTTGGCGACATTGTTTCTTTTTTTCATCGCGTATTTTCTGTTCCTGATCCTTCTGCACCTGTTGTAGTATCTCGTCAGTAATTTTTAATAGCTCTTCCTGCTCCTTCTTCATCTTCTGTATCTCATCTGTTTGCTCTTTCAGCAGTTCTTCATTTGGTGTTAATGTTGTACGCTGCTCAGCTTCTTGTTGGTTCAACAGAAATTAAACAGAATTATATTGTGTACGTGTAAATATGCGAAATATATTTGAATCATAATGATAGTATCATTCTTACGCACATGAAAGAGCTAATCCTGATTTCATTGTTAAATAAATAATTAAAAGAAAAAAAGCAACATTACCTGAAAGGCCAAAAGGGCGAGATTTCGATATTTGAGTTGCTAATTCCCTGATTTTTTTTGCAGCAGCCGATTCTTCGTTGACGTGTATGGCCCTGCTGTTCTTATAGATGGTGTATACATCAATAGGTATGGTTATGGCTGCAACTGCTGCTCCTCCGATTGTCAAACCCATTGTGCCTGTCTTCAGAACACTTACAACTGTCCTGCTGACATCGGCCACCATTGTTCGTGAAGCTAATGCAACAGAAGTGAAGGCAATTTTGGCACCAGCAGCCCCGACCTCCGACGTAGCTTTCATACTTAGGAAAAATACTTCTAGGGTCTTGCTTGTTTCAGGATCAGAAATATTACGTAATTTATCCTGGAAATCCTGCTCAATTTGTGCATCCCATTCATTTTGTATTTCCTCCATTATTTGTACAATACCGTCCACTATATTTATGTATTGGTCGGCTGCTGCAAAGGCTGCTTTGGTCTTCTTGTTGTTCAGAAGCTTGTCTATTATTGTCGTGACCAGTCCCCCAACCCCGCTTGACACTCCCACCGCGGCGCCTGCTATAGTCAGACCCAGAGAAGCACCAAAAGTGAATGGAGCTGCAATGATGCCACCAATGGCTAACCCAGCACCAAGTATGCCAGTTGAGGCAAACGTGGTTTTCGCAATTCGAGCTTTGTGAACCTCTTTGTCAACTTCATTTGCAAGATCATTCAGTGTTTCCACAACTTCCTTCCTCCCTTCGCTTTCCTTGTGTATCAATCGTTCTATTTCAGAGGCAAAATCTGTACCTTTACTCTCGTTAGCCATATTCTGTAAAATACAGACGAGTTATATAAGCGGTGGGTAGGTATAACAAACGTTTATTTACTCTTTCATGTTATAATATTTTACTTTATCTGGTGACATTATATCCCTTCTCATTCCTTAATGGTATCCAGCTTATGGAAGGCAAATGTGATGAGTGCACACTGATTCATTGGACAGGATGGTTATTTAGTAGCGTCATGAGTACCAATCTCAGTGCACGGGGATGAAATAGATGCAAGAAGGTTACTACACAACGTCCTATGTCGTTTGCAAGAGATCTGGGTTGAGAATATTGGATATATATTAATGTTGGGTTAGTGTGTTTCAAGTCGGAACACTTTTACATGAAGAATATCTGAGTTAAATGAATTATGTAGATACACGTGAGAATCGTTGTTCTCAGTACAACTGCACTTAGCTGAACCAAGCATGATACTCCCATGCCCTACTAGGTGATGTGATGATAATACTTTCAAAGATTATTTAATTTAATTCTATCAACAAGTATTATGAAACCCTTCAAACCCTTCCCTTGTATGAGTTAGTTGATGACTGACACCAATCAAAATTCAATGCCACAAGGGATCATATTGTAAAACAATTTCTGGAAGTCGTCAGAAAACAAAACATTTTCTTGAATCATTAAAGTCCTTGAAATACTGAGCACTTCAAGTTGTCGACAGACATATTTGCTATCTTGCAGCTGCAGCCTTTGGTGATTACACTTCACAACCTTTGAGGTACAGTCGAGCATGTTCTTTCTACGAAGATTTCAAAGAAAGTCATATGTTCGGAAGTTGTTTCATCAAGGTTACAATATTCACTGCCTCTGTAAAGATTTCAAACGTTTGGAGGACATTTCCATATTTAAGGCATCACTGACACAAAATAATGTCTGATGCAATTCCCTATTTCAAATAGTACAATGTATTTCCGATTTTGTTCAGGCCCATGCTTGCCGCAAAAGGCGACTATGCTTGTCGTATAAGGCAACTAATGGGATCGGTTGACTTGGTTGATGTATGTCATCGGTCCTAATTGCGTGGAAGGATGTTCATGATGTCACTCACTGGATTGTCTGGTCCAGAATCGATTATTTATAGCTGGAATATTGCTGAGTGCGGCGCCTAACAACAAACAAACAACCAATTGTTCAGGCTTGCCTTTGCATGTGTTTGTGATGGGAGCCACAAAAATCTGGTATCATCACTTTTTGATAGTGATTTATAAACAAATCTTATGGTATAGTTAGACTCAAACGATGGTTGGACCCACACCAATGTCATATATAGCAGACTGTTTGCCGTTTCATAAGGATGACCCTGTCTGCGCAATGATTATTATTTCCTCACACGATGAGCGGACCAAAGGCAGTAAATTTGTCATTTATCAATATTTGTCAATATTTGTCCTAGTGACAGGTTGCTGTCTTCAAACCAAAGGACAATGGCGAATAGAGATTTTTTTACCCACATAACTTTCGGTTATATCTAAATATAATACCATCATTGCTGTGGGATTTATCCTTGCACAAGTGGAAATCTCCCAATTGACATTTAGCACACGTTTTCCCCTCCCAGTTCCCAGATAGTCAATTTACACGCAAAAATCGAAATATTTGTTCCTTGTCCCTTAAATCCCAGATTTTCACTTTCAAAAATCATTTTCTGACATTTCTACGAGAACGCTGAGTGTTGTAGTGAGCAGTCCAAACACGGTACTTACTACGGACTGACGTCACACAAAATAGCCCAATGAAAAGGATTTACCTGTGAGAATTTTCCCACAGTATTCAGTTCCATATCACATCATTCCTTGAGTCTGCATTTTAGATAATTCATCACGACTTACCTTTTGTACGCATTTTAATTAAACTTAATTTCTTGGTTTAGGTTCCTAAACCGGAAGTGGTTCGATGAATCTAACTTTTGGGTTAATCTTTTCACCTCTGATTAATATTTTAATACCCTTCTCCGCTCGCGCGCACTTCTCTGTATAGAAACATCACGTGACCTTATTAAATATGGCGGGTAGGTGGCCGGTGTGTGTACCAAAAGATCTAATGGAATCACATAACAACGATTGTATCGGTGTTTAACTGGTATAAGGGTTGAGAATTACAAACATAAAGTGCAAGAAGCGTGTATTATCTATGCTCACTTCCAGGCTTTCCAGGCTCTTGACACAAAGGTGGAAAACACGGAGAGACACAATGCAGGTGAAAGCTATACACGTGGCATTTGGGTATAGTTGTCAGCAATGATGGTACAACTGATGATCATGTGAGTATGGAAGATCTGATGCCGCTGTCCATTTCTTATTGTGTGAGTGGCGGGTGCTACCAATAGGACAGGACTTGCATACCTTTTCCATGAACGCCTTGTTTCATCAGTGTGTATAGTGGTACATTCACATAATTTCCACTGCTATATTTGCCAAATAGCATGCTTCTTGAGGCAGCCTCTGGGAATCTCTTTGATTGCCACTGCTCCCTTTCAGTACCCACGAGGACTTTAGTAAAGTTTATCTGCTATTAACATATATCAACTTTTCGAATATGATTTGTTTACTTGTCTAAATTTCATAAAAAAGTTAAAAACATGTTGTTGTTTTTAATGCCTACTCCACATAAGCTCAATGAAATTGTCTTTTGACTTGATTGACAATCTCCCATGGGAGTATTTTCAGGGTCTGCTACTGGTCAAGACCCCGTTCCCTATACTACTCTAGTTAAAGGCGCTTTACACATGTGCTGAAGCCCGGGGCAGGCATCTTCCCGAGGCAAGTGAGTAAACTGACTATAAAAGTCCAGTTTCCACCCTTGCCAAACTAGGCTGATATTATGGAGTTACATTTTGGCTTGACTAGCTAGTCTATGCATCGTCCAATCAAAATCGCGCACCGAAATCGAAATCCGGTTTGTAAAGTGTCATGCAGATTTCGGTCGACTGCAGCATTTGCAAAACATGTGCACCGCTAACTCGTTGTCAACAGAAATTTTCTAAATCTATTCATGTTTTTAATTAAGTTGCTCACGTGATTTGATGCACTTTGTGATGTGAGACTTGTTTTATTACAATATAGATCTTGATTATCGATCAGATCGTCTTGACTGGGCGCCACCGTTTTGTTTGAAGCAAATGCAAGTGATACGAGAGGTTGAATCTGATTGGTCAGTAGGAGAGGCATAGAAAGGACATAACTCGCAATAACCACTGGTGGCGCTACGATCGAGCCCAGTAATTACAGCTTAGTTCGGCAAGGGTGGAAACTGGACTTTTAAAGTCAGTTAACTCTCTTGCCTCGGAAAGATGGGGGCAGGGGAAAGTGACTCCATTCAGGGCACGAGTATGACGATCCTTTTATATTCCATAAATATAACACATGTCTAACCCAAAACTGGAAGAAGCTTTATGCGGATCAACGAATGGCATAACACTAAGTCATATGTCGTTTGCAAGAGATCTTAGTTGGTAGGAGGGGTGTTCATTAAAGAGTTCCCCTAAACCACTTAGGATTATCCTATTTGGTTGAAATTGCACAAAATATAATGATACATGCATCTATGGGTTATGTCTGAATTTGCAGCACCGAACTATTAATCTTACCAGTTTTACAGGTGTTATGATCGAGTAGGGTGTGACAATGGAGCCAGTAGAATACCGAGCAGTGATTAGGTTTTTATATTTAAAAGGTCGCACACCAAAAGAAACTTTCGATGAAATGAAAGCAACTTATGGGGAAGATGGCCAATCATATGACGATGTTAAACACTGGCATCGCCAATTCAAGTGTGGTCGGACAGCTGACATTCCTGGTTGCCCCCATTCAGCCATTGATGAGGACACTATCCATCAAGTGGAGACCGCCATTTTGGCAGACCGACGTATAACTGTTCGCCAGTTAGCACAAGATGTTAAGATCAGTGTAGGGTCTGTGGAAAAAGTCATCCATGACAATTTGAACATGTATAAGGTGTCTGCACGATGGATTCCCCGATTGCTCACACCTTTCCAAAAGCAGGATCGAGTCATTTGCTCAATGGATCTTTTGGACATGTGCCAAAACAACAGGCAAATGTTTTTGACAGACTTATTACACAGGATGAAACATGGGTCCATCACTATGATCCTAAGACTAAAGTTCAGTCGATGCTATGGAAGCATGTGGAGTCACCACCGCCAAAGAAGGCACGTGTCCAACCCTCTGCAGGCAAGGTCATGCGCACGGTGTTTTGGGACCAGCACGGAGTAGTGATGATGGATTTCTTTGCAAAGGGTACCACAATTACAGGAGCTTATTATGCTTCACTGCTGCGGAAATTGTGGGACGCTATCAAGCTTAAGAGGAGTGGCAAGCTGACCAAGGGTGTCCGTCTCCTGCAAGACAATGCTCCAGTACACAACTCTCATGTTGCCCAGACAGAAGCACGGTCCTGTGGCTATGAAATCCTTCCACACCCTCCTTACTCTCCTGACCTTGCACCATCTGACTTCCACCTCTTTCCAGCCATGAAGTCATTTTTAAGGGAAAACGTTTCACAGATGATGAAACACTGATTTCTGAAGTCAAGTCCTGGTTTGAGACGCAAAATGAGGGCTTTTACAAGCGAGGTCTCCATAGTTGCATAAAACTATGGTAGAAGTGTGTAACTCTTGGTGGTTCCTATGTGGAGACAGACTAATACCTATGCCAAGTTTCATTCCACTAGGTCCATCGGAAGTGGGTCAGGGGCAAACTTTGATGAACACCCCTCGTATATATTGGTAATATGATTATATTGGGTTGGTGTGCTTCCTTTTCACCATCTGTCTCCAAAGCTGCCTATATGTATACAGCTTCATATCTTTGATATTAAAATCATGCCAATGTTATTGCATGGATCTGAGGTTTGGGGTTTCCACCCATTCCACGATGTTGATACAATTCATGACAGGTTTTGTAAATTAGGATTGGGTCTTAAACGCCAACCCCAAATACACCTGGGAGAGGGGATGTTGGGAGATTTCTTATGAAAGTTTTTTCAATATAAGAGAAAAAGCACTTTTTGGTAGCGACTTTTTAGCCAAAATTCAAATATTATGCTTGGCTTGTTATATAAATATGGTTTTGGAGAATTTGGCTTCAACAAGGGATGGCTATGTTGATTTATTTATTGACCAATTTGTAAAACACTGTAAAGATATTGGTGTTCAGATGTTCAGATATGAGAATACCATTTCTCCCTCCATTGTCCATTCTCCCTTTATGTCAATAGTCAAGTCTCGTTTTATGTGGCGCAGTATACATGCAGCTCCAGCCTTTGGTGTTTACATTCACAACCAAAATTACAAAGAGCGTCATACGACACTTCATCAGAAGTTGTTTGATCAAGGCCTCTGCCACTCAAACAGGGTTTGAAAGTTTTTTCTTTCTAGAAGTTAGCAAAACAAGTACGAAAAACGTACACCTTTATGGATCCCTCAGAACTATTCTCCAAGAAAATGTCCCCAACCCCCCTCCATCAGGGATCCCCTAAAGTCATTTTAAAGATAAATTGTGACTGTGGTAATATCTATATTGATGAAACCTCCCGCCCTGTAGATACCCGCATCAAAAAATACAAGACCTAAAAAGCCAAAGCAGACAGCAAATCAGCCCTCTCAGACCACCAGCAAAAATTCCCCACCCACCAAATTCATTTTGACATTTTGAAGTCCAAATTCGAAGCGAAAGAAATCCGCCGTCAAAAGCCTTTCATCAACAAAGATCAAGGGTATTACATCTCGTCTGCCTATGAATATCTAATTAAGCAATAGTCTATTTTAATTAGGACCCAATCACTTGTCACAACTGTATACCCCTTTAATCATTATCCACACTGTATATCTGGCGTCACTAACCGTGTGCTATGTGTTATTCATACTGTACATTTGGCTTCATCCAATTATGTGCTATTCTCTATTTTGTTCCCGTGTTTGTTCATGTGATAAATTGCCTTGCCTTTCCCTGTGTTTGTGACGGGTGCCACGGGTGAGGCAGGATACGCTCACCTTTTGCGAACACCTGTTATTCATAAACATTTGCTCATGATATAGTTGGGAGTGTAGAAACGACGCAGAGATTTCTTTGAATATGGGAGGGGTTTTGTCGCTTTCATTTACTTGCTGTTTCACAAATATACTCATCATTCATATGTTATACATGGGCGACAAATTTATCACCATCTGCAACAAGTGATCCCAAAATGATTGAAGGTGCACGTAACGACATTAGGAACGACATTCGTCTTTAACTTTGAAGTTTGAATTTAACTGAACGTCTATTGCTAGTGGGGTGTAATATTTCAAGTCACTCACTTACCTGAATGTCAATCAAGAACGCCATCGCTGAAGCCCAAGAAAGCTATGGAGAGTTGGAGCACGTTGGATGTCGTTGGTGAGGCTGCTACGTTGAAAGGCTGCTGTGTGGCGTGTGCCGCGAGCCAGTGATAACTGTCAGTGTGCGTAAAGCCACAGAGGCAGGGTTACAAAGATTGGCAAGTCTCCATATCAAGATCCATTATCAATGAGGAAGTCCACCATTTCACATATTGTTTTCTCAGTGCACTTTAGATACCATTTGCTCTCTCATTTGACAAATTGGCCAGAACCTCTAAAATAAGTGTGTAACTATATCTATGATCACCAGGTTAAGGGACGTATGCCCCATGGGTCAAAGAATGAAGTTTCCACATGTTCTGACAGGACTTTTCTAAGATTGCACACATCCAAGAAATCCTTTGACTTTTCGAGAATCCACATGGTGTTAAGCATTCTTGTCTTAAGATGTATCGCGCACATTCTATATCACGTGTGAGAATCCACCTGGTGTTAACCATTCTTGTCTCAAGATGTATCAGGCACATTCTATATCACGTGTGAGAATCCACATGGTGTTAAGCATTCTTGTCCCAAGATGTATCGGGCACATTCTATATCACGTGTGAGTATCCACATGGTGTTAAGCATTCTTGTCTCAAGATGTATCGGGCACATTCTATATCATGTGTGAGTATCCACATTGTGTTAAGCATTCTTGTCTCATGATGTATCGGGCACATTCTATATCATGTGTTGGTATATTAAATAGTTTGTTATGGTAGATAAATCAAAACCTTTAGTTCATATTTTAAATACCCAGACACCACAGTTTCCAGGCAAATGAGTCCTATTCCCCTAATTGTAATTTTCTAAGACATTCTCAACAACAATGGCCCAGGTGTGTCCAGGCAACTGCGTCCAATGTTTTTAAGGGGTTGTTGATCTGAATTACGGAATCACTAACACCAGCCTTTAAAGACAATGTTGTGCTGTATGTGCCGAAGTTGTTCTTTAACACAATCGAATATATAACAGGAATTGGAAACTGTCCTGAGCTAATATGGAGTGAAAACCACACAAGAAAAGTAAGCAGTCCTTGCAAGGTTTTGTTCTACACTGTACGTCCCTATCATGACGTTACACAGTGTGATCACAAAGATATTACGTCACAGATGTGTTTAGACAAGCACTAAATTTCAAACCCATGTCCCTTATACTCTTGACGCACATAGTCTTTGTAGATCTCTTCCATGTTTTCTGCGCAAAATGTACTGCCACACATCCTTTGAATATTGTAGTAACGGCAACTTTGTATTTTGTAACCTATGAGCACCCAAACATTACCTAGACATTGCAAGTTTTCCAGGAATGTGCGCATTAAATATATTACATCAGAGGGTAAGTGATGATTGGACAGTGACAGTCACATTTTTCCTTTGGCTTTATTCTACTGAGAAATCCACTGACAGACAGACAGACAGACAGACTGACAGACAGACAGACAGACAGACAGATGTTCCATGTTCGCACCATCAGAATGTTTATTGTCCACGTGCCACAGCATGCGTGGATGAGCTACCTGCTTTGGTCTTCTTGCTGTTCAGAAGCTTGTCTATTATTGTCGTGACCAGTCCCCCAACCCCGCTTGACACTCCCACCGTAGCGCCTGCTATAGTCAGTCCCAGAGAAGCACCAAAAGTGAATGGAGCTGCAATGATGCCACCAATGGCTAACCCAGCACCAAGTATACCAGATGATGCAAACGTGGTTTTGGCAATTCGACCTTTGCGAACCTCTTTGTCAACTTCATTTGCAAGATCATTCAGTTTTTCCACAACTTCCATCCTCCCGTCCCTTTCCTTAGATATCAATCTTTCTACTTCAGAGGCAAAATCTGTATCTTTATTCTCGTAAGCCATATTCTGTAAAATACAGACGAGTTATATAAGCGGTGGGTATAGCGAACGTTTACTCTTTTATGTTAATAATATTGCACTTTATCTTGTCACATTATATCCCTTCTCATTCCTAAATGGTATCCAGTTTATGGAAGGAAGTGTTTGTTCAACCAGCCGCAAATGGTTACCCTCAGAACCTTGAAGACGTGCACGCAGCTTCAGTTGTGCAAGGAAATGTAATGTGAGTGCACACTGATTCATTGGCCAGGATGGTTATTTAGTAGCGTCATGAGTACCACTCCCACAGAACGGAAATAGAGACAAGAAGGTTACAACATAAAGATCTGGGTTGAGTATATGGGATATTTATTAATGTTGGGCTGGTGTGTTTCAAGACAGAACACTTTTCGCATGTAGAATATCTAAGTTAAATGAATTCTGTACATACACGTGCGAACAGTTGTTCTCAGAACTATTGCAGTTAGTTGAACTAAGCATGATGCTCCCATGCATGTGCCTTACTGTTTGATGTGATGATGATACTTTCAAAGATTATTTAATTCTATCAACAAGTATCATGATTGTGTTAATCCGGGATAGAAAAGGTCTTCAACAAACCATGCTCGCAGTAAAAGGCGACTATGCTTGTCGTAAAAGGCGACTAATGGGATCGGGTGGTCAGGCTCTCTGACTTGGTTGATGCATGACATCGATCCCAATAGCGTTGATCGATGCTCATGATATGAATCGCTGGATTGTCTGGTCCAGCCTCGATTATTTACGACCGCCATCATATAGCTGGAATATTGATGAGTGCGGTGTTAAACAACAAACCAACAAACCAATTCAAAGTCACAATGGATCATATTGTAAAACAAGTTTCTTGAAGTCCTCAGAAAACAAATTATTTTCTTGAATCATTAAAATCATTGAAATACTGAGCACTTGAAGTACAAGACATATTTACTATCTTGCAGCTACAGCCTTTGGTGTTTATATTGCAGAAATTTAGAGGTGCAGTCGAGCATGATCTCTACGAAGATTTCAAAGAGAGTCACATGATCGTAAGTTGTTTGATCAAGGTTACAAGATTCTAGTTCTCAGTAAAGGTTTCAAACGTTTGGAGGACATTTCCAAATTTAATGTCCGATGCAATTCCCTATTCCGAAAAGAACAATATGTTCCCGATTTTGTCAGGTTAACAATTGACTTGCCTTGGCATGTGTTTGTGATAGGAGCCACGAACATATGGTATCATCACTTTTTGATAGTGAGACTCAAATGATGGTACCAATTCACCCACACAATGTCACATATAGCAAAACATGAAACACAAAACAATTTATCCATAATGTATTTTTAAATGTTAAAGGTACAAAAGGAACCATTGTACTGTACATAATGGAAGTTCTCCAGATGTCCAGAGACTCAATTTATTTCTGTTTAAAAATATCTTCACGTTATCACTATACTTGGATTCAAATAATTAAAAAGGCTGCAGTGATCAAACAGCTCATTGAGACAAAGTACATGTGATGTGAGCAATGGATATTGTACATTTGGTAAGAATGCATTATACCCACACACCAGAACGAACGTTTGATAGGGTGCGCCAAGTAATGCGCAAAACCGCCCCTAGCAACCAGGAATTTTGTTTCAAAATCAATAAAAATCGGTAAGTACTTCCAAATACAAAACAAAGTCATCCAAACTGTCATTTGCTGTGTTTACAGGAGCGACTGTTTGCCGTTTCACAATGATGTCCCTGTCTGCGCAATGAGGATTAAATGCTCGCACGATGAGCGGAACAAAGGCAGTAAATTTGTCACTCACGTCCAGATTCCCCAAAGTACAAAGTATACAAGTCTTTCGTCGTTCGGCTCCTCGATAGCGGTCTCTTCAAAATACCCCACGAAGATTCAGTTCTGTTCGTGTCGGCAGCAGTGTCCGGGTCTTTGAGATGGATTGAATAACTAACTGTTAAATGAGGGAAAGCCGCATCACGCAGACAGGTATATAGAGTAGTTGCCAGACCCTCAAACTGCCGACATACCCCTCCCCACAGTATATCAACTGATATCATGTAAGTACAGAAGCTCTGATGCCGCTGTCCATTTCTTATTGTGTGAGTGGCGGGTGCTACCAATAGGACACGACATGCATACCTTTTCAATGAACGCCTTGTTTCATCACTGTTTATAGTGGTACATTCATATAATTTCCACCGCTCTATTTGCCAAATAGCATGCTTCTTGACCCAGCCTCTGGAAACCTCTGCAGATAGCCACTGCTCCCTTTCAGTAGCCACGAGGACTTTAGTAAAGTTGATCTGCTATTAACAAATATCAAGTTATCCTATATGATTTGTTTACTTATCTCAATTTCATGAAAAAAAGTTAAAAACATGTTTTTATATATATAATGCCTACTCTAAACAAGCTCAATGAAATTGTCTTTTGACTTGATTGATAATCCCCCATGGGAGGTTTTCCAGGGTCTGGAACTGGTCAAGCCCCCGTCCCCTATACTACTCCAGTCAAAGGAGCATCACGCATGTGCTAAAGCCCGGGGCAGGGGAAAGTGACTCCATTCAGCGCACGACCATGACGCTCCTTTAATATTCTATAAATATAACACATGACTAACACAAAACTGGAAGATGGCTTATGGGGATCAATGAATGGCACAACAATAAGTCATATGTCGTTTGCAAGGCATCTAAGTTGGTATATATTGGTAACATAATTATATTGGGTTGGTGTGCTTCAAACGTTTCACACATTTTCCTTATCTGCCTCGTGGTACTCAACCCCAAAATGTATTGGCGCAACACGCTTGAAAGTTATCTAAATCTTCTATGTTTCCCAAAATGCCTATACGTATACAGCTTCATATCTTTGATATATAAATCAGGTCACTTTTGTTATATGGATCTGAGGTATGGGGTTTCCACCCATTCCACGATGTTGATACAATTCATGACAGGTTTTGTAAATAAGTATTGGGTCTTAAACGCCAACCCCAAATAATCTGCGAGAGGGGATGTTTGGAGATTTCTTATGAAAGTCTTTCAATATAAGAGAATAATCACTTATTTGTATTTGGACAAATATTATTTTTAAGCATGCGTACCATGCTTGGCTTAGTATATAAGTATGGGTTTGGAGAAGTTTGGCTTCAACAAGGGGTTGGCTATGTTGATTTATTTATTGACCAATTTATAAAACGCTGTGAAGATATACGTTCAGATATGGAATGATAATGTTACAGCTTCTCCAAAGTTAGACTTTTATAGACATGTTAAAATAGAAAATGGCTAGGCAGATTATATCATACTTTAATGATAGAAAAAGGTCGACAGTATAATATTAACAGAAAGTTAAGATTCTGTCCATTTTGCAAAGTATTAACAGTAAAATCAGAATACCATTTCTGACTCCAATGTCCATTCCAGCAAAACCAGCATGAAATTATAATGAGCTCTAGCTCAAATCCTTTTTTTTACTTAACAGTCAAGATAAATATAGTTTCTAAGCACTTAAGACACGCAATAGATATTTTAAAGATGTCATTAATTACCCTAAGCAGTAATACTGTCCACTATTGTAAATCATAAGGGAAACATTTCTGGGCCGTCTGTCAAATATATATGTGTGAGTATATACTTGTATAATGGGCCGGTGGCCTCATTACACCTAGAATACAAATGCATGTAGAATATCTTAGACACACAAAATCTGTACTACATGAAAGAGATTCTTAACATGTACACGAGAAAGAGTCCAAGGTTCAGTTATAGGAACGTGTTGTAGAACGTGGACTTGGCAGATCACAACCTTCGTTTCAGGGTGACGTAAATCAGTGTGTTATGTCATTGGTAGGATGCCCAAACGGAACAAAAAGGAAACAGAATTTGAACAAAAACATTCGGTCCAAGCCAGCACTCGTCCACAGTCTGGCTGTCCGAAGTGAAAAGTTTGTAGTTGTTCCCACTGACAAGGCATCAAACAACATAGCCGTTATATGTTAGCATTGCAACATTAAATGTTTAATCAAAGAACTTGTATAAAGCACGTGTGTTAGTCCAGTATCATAACTAAGGATTCATTCTGCCAAAAAATGCACTTCAGTATTTTATTTTGGCTTCACTCAACATGTCCCCTCCTCTTTTGTACTGGATTCCGAAGCTCCATTTACATATATATCGTCAGAGGTTCAGGACAATTTCTCAAAAATGAAAGCAAGTGCCGACTGAAGTTTATTGAAAACAAGAGTTTGACACTAACGTGGCTGTATCCCCCGCCCCTGTTGCAGAATTTATTACATTATTAAATCTAAACAAACCCTAACCTTTTTAACCGAGGTGGAACTTGTTGTCATCCATAAAATTCTAAAAGTTCAACTTGTTGCAGTGGAAAAATAAAAAAAATGTAAATTTCTAAATAGCAAAAGGCACCAGTTTAGCATGTACCTGACAGACATGCAAAGTTTCATGAAAAAAAATGAACGGTTTCTGAGTTATGCTCCGGAAACGAAACCTACCCTCACAGAACCTAAGTCCATCTTGTTGCCATGGAAACGTAAAAACTGTAAACTTCTTAAATTTCTAAATAGCAAAAGGCACCAGTTCAGCATGTACCTGACATCC